GAAGGCGGAAAGACGCGTTCACCCTGGAACCCGGCGAATGTCCGCTACCTGCCCTCCACACACTTCCCGTTAACAAGTCTGCATCGCCTCCTATATCGAGTGAGGTGACTCAATGCATCAAGTGATGTCAATCAGTCCCTCTGAACAGCAGGTCCTATGTTCGAGTCCTGATGACGAGTATCGATGAAATCAGGATAAATTCATTAAAAAATGATGGAAAAGGTAAAAAGTCGTATCAGTAAAAATTGTTGAAAAATGCAAAAGAAACAACATAAAATTCGGTCTTTTCTTTCGTCACAACATAAAATTAATTTCAGTACTAAACTGCATTGTTCTAAAGTAAATAGAAAAGAAATGATATTTCATAAAATCCGCCCCCTATTTATAAGCATAAATGTGGCGTTTGCCCCTGAATTTTAGGTAATTTCGTGTGCACAGATATACTCTGGTATATGACATCTTCATTGCGTTAGAACGTGACCATTTGGACACCTCTGCTCAACGAATTGCCTATAAATAAGGGGCACTTGCCACATGTAGAAATTCATTTAACTCCGTTACAAGTAGTTTCACAGTATCCGTTCATTGGCTAAACATGATCATTTTTTATCCATACATATGCCCTAGAAATTTGAAAAATGTATTCTGAGATTCACGTAGAAGGACTGACAACAATCCTGGGTTCTTTTTTCTGATATCGACTTGACATTGCTGACACTGGCAGATCTGCAGACTTTGGCATATTTACAACTCAATTTTGTTACTTAAAATTTTTACATTCTTACAACTTTATTCATCATTGAATTCATTATCTTCATGAACTGAAATAAACATGTTGTCCAAAATTCACAGAACTTTTAAAAATATTTAGATAAAATTTCGATTTAAACGTTCATTTAATTTGTGTTGTAATAATGATATTTTGTTAACTGTATGTGTCGAAAAATACCTACTAAGAAATTTTAATCTGTACGCGCACTATTAGTCCAAGCGAATTACAAAATCAATTACTTCAAAATAAAATATCTCATTTTGGTTATACTTGCTTTCCTTTTGCTTCCTCCTTTTTCAGCAACATTCTGTCTCAGTCAGTATCATCTTTCTATAGTCAATGCAGGGCCTTACTATACAACGAACCAATGTTATTGTTCTTGACAAATTTAAAAACTTCGTTTCACTGGCGAGAGAGGTAATATCATTAAATAATTTTAACAATTTCTGTCGTTTTTCTAGGACACGTTCTGCTACCCTACCTAACTGTTGGTTTTAACCAATGAGCTCTAGAGTACGTATCATGTTGGGATCTCTGATTGCAACTAACTCTCCATATTGCGCCATGCGTCATTCTGCAATTCACAGCCTCCTATCCTTGCTTATCAGGCGATTTGGATAAAGGAGAATCTGGATTCTTAAATAAAAAAATGTCACTTTCAAATTAAATTGTCTCAAATTCCAACAAAGATTTTAGATCTAACACTAAAAATGTTACGGATTTTTGAATCATTATAACAAAGAGTGATACTGAAATAAGCAATCATATTTTCTTTTTGGCTGTTTTTCAGTATGAAAATTTTGCGTCTCAAAATTTAGGTTCCCAACGTACGTTGACGTGACAAAAATCATAGAATACCTGCTAATATCGTGTTGGACCTCCTTTGGCCCAGAAAAGTGCGACAATTCGACGTGACATGGACTCAACAAGTCGTTGGAAGCCCCCGCAGAAATATCGTATTGCTGTCTCTATAGCTGACCCTAATTGCGAAAGGGTTGCCAGTGCACGATTTTGTTCAAAAACTGACCTCCCAATTACGTCATACGATGTGTGTTCGATGTGAATGATGTCAAGCGATCTGAATTTCAATGATCTTCAAACAAATCGCGAACAATTGCGGCCCGGATACATGGCGCATTGTCATCCATAAAAATTTCATTTTTTTTGGAAACATGAAATCTAAGAGATGCTGAAAAGTATCTACAAGTATCTGAAGATAACTATTTCCAGTCAGTAATCAGTTCATTTGAACCAGAGAACCAAATTCATTGCATGTAAAAACAGCTCACATCATAATTCATCCACCACCAGCTTGTGCAGTGCCTTCATGAAAATTTAGATGGATCAATGGGGTCGTCACCGCACTGGTACTCTCTCAACTCTTACCTACTGAAAATTAGACTCATCTGACCAAACGACGGTTTTTCAGTCCAATTGGCCTACAAGAGGCGGTGCAGGCGATGTCGTGCTGTCAGCAAAGGTACTCGAGTATGCTTTCCGCTGACATAGTCCATTAAAGTAAAATTTCACCGCCCTGTTCCAACGGATACGTTCGTCGTACGTCCCACATTGATTTCTGCTGTTATTTCTTGTGTTCCTGTTAGCACGTACAACTATACGTAAACGCCGCTGCTTTTGGTCAACAAGTGAAGCCCGTCAGCCATTTCGTTGACTGTGGTGAGAGGTTATGCCTGAAATTAGGTGTTCTCGGCACTCTTGACACTGTGGATTTCGGAATATTGAATTCTCTAACTATTTCCGAAATGGAATGTCCCATGCGTCTACCATTCAGCGTTGAAAGTCTGTTAATTACCGTCATGCGACCATGATCATATCAGACACCTTTTCACAGGAATAACTTGAGTTCAAATGAAAGCTCAGGCAATGCACTGACCTTTCGTACCTTTTGCATGCGATACCACTGCCCTCGGTAAATCTCATATATCTCTCATTGCTATCTCTCATTGCTATCTCATGACTATTGTCACATCAGTGGATACTTACAGAGTGTATAGGAAAGAAACTAAAATATAATAAAAGGTATTTCATTTTAATTGTCTTTCGTGTTTTCTTTGCTTTACATTTTATTTGCTACTAAATTTCAAAATAGGAAATTGATATGTTCTTCCGTCAGTCTATCGGACACGAAAAAACAGTAATCTAGAAACACTACAATAAAATGACTGTTTCAAAAATGATTATAATCATAAAAGCAAATAATTCATATCTTAAAAAGATTTCAGTACTTTTTGTAGCTTCAGATTACATTTTATATTTATCACTTCCAGCAATTGCGTACTGTGATCGTGACCTAATTTTTGCTATTCGAAACAAGGACAAATGGTTTTCCCAATATCATGGTAGATTTGGGTCTGCCGCCACCCACTAAAACTGAAGCAACAAAAGGTAATAAAATTCTATTATCTTCTTTGTCGAAACACAAAATTTACAAAATGTGATCAGTGTCGTAATAAGAATTATTACGATGCAAGTGTTGTAATAAACCATAACCTACTACTAAAATCAATAATCAGTTTCGTATTGCAAAAATATTAGGAGAATCGATTGCCTACTATTAACTACTATCAACTCTGTCTGCAACATTCCGCAAGTATAAGAGTCAAATGTAAACTACAACTATAGTCCATTTTAATTGCTACAAAATGAATAAAACGTTGTACGATATTCATAATATAACATCTTGTTACAATATTCAATTGGTTCCAATTTCGAATTTTAATTTTTTATTTTTATACGTTTATTCCCCAGTTGTAAACACCGTGACAGTCCCGAGTTCGATTCCCGGTCCAGGTCAAAAGACTTTAAACCAGCGTTTGCCAACTGGCGGAGAAATGACGGAGCTCCGTTACCCTCCCCGAGCGCCTGCCCGGAGATCTGGTGCGAGCAAAGCTGGGCGGCAAGGAGGGGCAGACGGCGGTCGCCGATTACGAAAATCAATGGGACTTGGCTAATGTTTTAGGGAACATGAATGGGAGACCATCAACACCCGTTAATTTTCTTTCGATTTTGGGAGGACGGTTTCCTTATGCAGATACCGTAACAATGGCGAAGTATTTATTCGAAAAAACTTCAGCCTGAACCCGCGAAATGAAAATAATTTTCTGTGAATTTACAGACAGCCTGGAATCATAAAACGAGAAAAGGATTTTGCAGATAGGAGATTATGGAAAAGGAATTGAAAATCACGAGGATTTACAATAATCTCTAACAAACTGTACTGCATAAATAATTAAATCTGGAATCCAAATTCTTCCACGTGAACCCTCCCGGGAATAAATAAGACGTTTTCAGACCGAAAGACTTCATACAAGCTTCTGAAAGTATGTCGACGCGCTTAATGCGATTCTGAAGCCAAAATTGCACCACCATCCTCCAGTTTTTTTTATTGCGAAAAAACGCTTTGAAATTTTAAATTGTAAATTTAATAATAATAATAATAATAATAATAATAATAATAATAATAATAACAATAATATTATTTATTTCCTGCTAATGAACTGTCACTTGGTGGTAGTGCTTTTACATATAAAGCCAGAGACAAACATATACAACGTAGAAAGACATACAAAGACAAGTTAAGAAACATATTATATTAAACCATTTCATTGTTTTTCGCAGTTAAAAAAACTGAGACGGTGGAGGCGCGTTTTGGCTTCAGATTAGTATTCAGATCTTTGAAATACATAAGGAAACATTAGTCAAATCTTGGATCTGACAACAACCCTCAAAAACAAAAAAATTGTCATAGTTTTTTGTTTTTTTTTCGCGATTTAAAAAACTGGAGGGTGGTTGCGCCATTCTAACTTCAGATTCGGATTCAGCACGTTGATATACATAGAGAAACATGTGTCAAGTCTTTGGGTCTTTCATTATTATACTTATTACACCTTTTTTATTTTGTTGTGCCTGGATTATTATTTTCGGGACAAACCAAAATGGTTATATTGATATAACATTGTATACAATATTGTAATTATAGAACGTAAAACTGTCTTGCTTCCAAAAGTGTTATGCTTGTTAGAAGTATGAGAAAGTGAATTTACAGTACTGATAACCGCAAAAAAGTGTTCGGATATTCAATGTGTATAGAAAGACCCTAAATAGAATGCAATTCTTTTTAATATTATTTCATTGTTTTATTGACTATATATATTTAAATAATAAATGACCGTTCAGAAATCCGAACCTCCCCTCTCCCGCCACTTACCCGTACCATTATTGGTACACTTGAACGCCCGCCAACCGGCGTCCGGCCACTACCTTTCCCCCGGCTCGGGCTCCGGCAGAAGAGCCAGATTTTTTGTGATCTCACAGAGAAATGATTGGCTACCCTGCTCTAAAACATCGTGGATACTTATTTTCATAAATACGTATTACGAGTGTTCCATCAGGGAATGTGGAAATAAAAAAAATACTATCGCAAACAACACAGATTGCAAAGGGCGGCGGAATCGACTTACTGAGGATCAACGGCCGTGTCTGGCGGTCCCACTGTTTCAATCAGCACGAGCCTGCCTCCTCCGTAGTGGGTGAAGGCCGGCCTAATGTTCATTCCTTCTCCGATCCGTTGGGCAACCAGGCTGCAAGTCGGTTCCGGGCAGCCTATACAGCTGAATGTACTGATGCTTTATCACGTGCCCCGACTAAAATCTGTTCTGTCCTGTCAGTGTTTTTGCACCGCAGAAGTGATTGTGATTCAATAGTAGAATAACCCACTTGAAAAACATAGGACTAAAGTCGAACAATGGCTTCCATATTCGCACACGGCGGTGGCGCGCCGCAACTCTCGCCTGCAGCAAGTTAAATATTGCTTAGTCCAGGAATAAATAACGTCCTACATCTCCAATATCTGATGCAGATACCTTCCTTCATCAGTACACAACGTCCAATGGTAATTAAAAATTAATAACTTACTTCCACGATGCAAGCCAGTCAAGAACATCAACATAAGCAGTAAACACAAATCTTATAAACGAAAGCAACATCATCAGCAGCAACAACTCGTACCACTTCAACATTTGCAATTTTTATCAAAAAAGTCAAAATAATTGAATATTTTAAACCAACTCCCGCAGCACAACGTGGATAATGTAATTAATGGCTGGGAATTGTATTCACTAAAATGAAAACACAGTTAAACATACCAGCGTCCACGCTAATGTTTCAACTTCAAACAGATTTAGCTCGTTACATTTGTTGCCTGACAGCCAACATTTAGCTCATGTGAGTTTAAAATTGTGATGTCATTCGAAAAATGTGACAACTACTTTAGTACTTCCACCCACGGCCAAGTGATTAAACTTAATACAAACGCAAACAATGGCTTTCAAAATATACTGACTTTCCTCTTTCCGATGTGGAACTCCACATCAAATAAATCGGAAAGGGCATAACAAGGAAAGTCGGCATAAGGCATAACAAGTCGGAAAGGGCAACACAAAGGAACCAAACAAAATAAAATATGTTGTTCATCACGTCCTTGTGCGTGATAGAAATCACATCGATTAGTGAGTGCGCAATCCTTTCAAACTTTAATGTTAACTGCATTCTATTATAAGAGCTAAACCTAGAAAAATATAATAAAACATTGTTGCAATTTAAAAAGTATACAAACTTTAATCATACTCGCCACTACTCAAAACACAAAATAAATGTGTGAAATGTGATAACTTTCATCCATCCAACAGTGACAACGTTGCACGTAATGAATTATTAACTTCCACTAACTGCAGGGGAAATTATATTGCAAGAAATGCAACTACTTCCAGAAAAGGCAAATCTCGTTCCCAACACTCAACTTCAATATCTCCAACGATTTACTACAACGTTCATTCACTCAAATAAAAAGCATCCTTTATTCTTTTATAAAAGCAACTTCATTTCAAAACCTTCCCAATCCCTTGCATCAATGTTCACATACAATGACCACAAGAGAATTTCCTCCTCTCCAGAAAGTTTCCCCCCACTAATTTACGGCAACGTCGTCATAAACCAAAATCATCAAAACTTATTCTTTACAAACATAGTCAAACAATTATTTCTTCCTAAATACTTCAAATTCAAAACCTAATACTAGTTGTCCTTACTTCGGTCATGTTTAAAAGCACATAATCCCAACATGGTCAATTGGAATACAAACGGTACAGTAAACAGAATAGTATTTTTATCCCATCTCGAACAGTAGTATAAAACGTACATAGCTACATAACGACAGAAACGCATTTCCTGACATTGCGAAAGTCTTCAATTCGTGAGTAGAATATATGCAGGTCGGACAGTCCTAATAGAAATGTTGGTGGAGTGGCAATCCTCATTCGCACGCGCATCAAACACAATTCCCTGCCACCATTCATCACTCCTGTACTAGAAAGCATTATGTACTGACGTTTGATGGTCATGTTCTGACGCAGTCAAAGGGAATTCGGATTCGGGCAATTCATCAATGCTTGAATGGCCCGAACCAATCAGGGACTAATTTCACATTTGTAGCTTCGACACGCGGGGGCTTCGGTGGATGAGAGGTCTCTTACTGGGCTCTGGACCCCGGGCGGCCTCGATCCCGGCCAAGGTGCCCGGATTTTCGAAAATCTACAGTAGCCATTTTACCCTTGTGACGTGTAAAATAACCCTGGTAGATACCCGGCAAACTTAGATCCATCCGACAACATCGGCCCTAACGATATCTCACTTTCCCCCAAACAGTTCGGATATAGCAACTGAGACCGACATCTGGCGGAGAGTAAAATAGAGAGAGAGTAAAATCCCAGGCGCATTTAGGGGACCGCTCGCGAACTGCACCTACTCGATAAAAGTTCCCCAGACCGGCACCGGAGGTAAGCTTCTAAAGAAGCCTGGCTCGAAAACTCAGGGAAAACAACGGGAAACTACCCTGAGCAAATTTTCTCAAGAAAACCCATGATGGGTCGCCCAACTTCCGTCTATGAAAGAATAGAACCAAAGAAAAAAGCCTTGTCACAAGCAATTTCCCACCATGCGACTCCATTTTCGCTCTTCGCCAAAACTAAATCATTCCCAAAGAACTCCGTTGGCAAAAGTGACCAACTCCCTATATGCTCTTGAATTACGAAATAGTTTTGTTACACCATTTTCCAATCCATATTGCACCAAAAAATGCATGGGTAAAATAGCAATAAATCTGATGACTAAGAAAATAATATGATAGAGATAATTTCATCATCCACGAGTACATCGGTAAAGTAGCAAATTTACAACATATTAGAGTTGTCCGGATCCTCCATTTACGAGCATAGAAAATAGACGTGGTATTATCAAAATATCCGAAAAAGCATCGATTCAAACACTTTTTTACAAATGTGTTTCAAACGCAAAATAGTTAAATTATAGCCCATCTAATTAATTAACTCGTAACGATCCATGTAAATGTCAGAAAGAGGAAACAGTAAATCAAAATGTGCCACCAATGTACTCCTAAGTGCATAAAAAAACGTATTTGCAATAATTATTCAAGAATACCTTAGAGGGAATCGACCAATAATTGTGCTAATGAATTTGTTTTGTCGAGAGGATTCGAATGAAATGTTGACCACCTCAATAGTTTACGCAAGTCATTCAAAACACGTCTTACCCTCACAATGAATCATCTCGCTGTTCTAGATAGTTTACCTCTGGGAATAGACCACCTCATTCCGAGAGCTGTTAGAATCAGTGCACACTATACACTTTGAACTAATTGTGTTGCATTTCCGATTCGCTTTGCCTGATTTTGGGCACTGAAACGTTGAAGCCGAGAGGCCTTTTCGAGGCCATCTGAATTAAGGTCCGAGCGGTTCGAAGTCCCCACCCACCAGCCTCCATCCCCTACCGGTATAAGGTGGCTCAGGGTATCAACTAAAGTCACGGCAGCGCTCCGCACCGATAATAGGATTTTCGGCTCTAGATAGCTAGGTCGAATTCAGTCGCTGTCTGGAGGAGAATTCCAGCGACTGACTGCACTTTCTCTGTAGTTTACAGTTTTTTTTCAGTCAATACGAGGGGAACGCAGGAGCAGAACCCTACAAACAGGACAAGGACCTCACATTCCTTCGTCTTCCTTGTCCTATACTCACTCCTTACTTACACACATTTACAATAGCACGTACTACCCTACCACACAGACTGGGAGACCGGCCGGGAGCTTAGAGGTCGTTCCGGCTATGGCATTGCCTTGTTGGGGGAAAACCCGCTAGCCGACGGTAAGTCAGAGCAGAGTATCGCCATCCTGCGGGGGAAGACCACCACCATCGTCGTCATCGTCGTCCCCGTCGTCCTCCTCCTCGTCCCCGTCGTCCTCCTCCTCGTCCCCGTCGTCCTCCTCCTCGTCCCCGTCGTCCTCGTTGTCCTCGTCGTTCTCGTCCCCCTCCTCGTCGTCCTCGTCCTCATCATCATCGTCTCGTCCTCATCGTCTCGTCCTCATCGTCTCGTCCTCATCGTCTCGTCCTCATCATCTCGTCCTCATCATCTCGTCCTCATCATCTCGTCCTCATCATCTCGTCCCATCATCTCGTCCCTCATCATCTCGTCTCATCATCTCGTCCCATCATCTGAATCTCGTCCTTCATCATCTCGTCCTCATCATCTTCGTCCTCATCATCTCGTCCTCATCATCTCCATCGCCATGCGTCCTCGTCAAAAAGCATGCCACTACCTTACGACCTAATGACCAGAAGCAGTGGACCGCTGCCTGGACACACGAAATAATCAATTGTTTAATCGGAGCCGCCTCCCCCTCCCCGCACTACCCATCGCGAGCGCTTTCGAGGGCAGCGGGCGAGATAGGCGGGCGGCCCTCCCGCGCTTCCCGCGCGCATATAAGAAGAGCCCGCGCGCCGCGCGCCGCACTCCGCCTGCTCCTCCACCATGCTCTTCGCCGTGGCCGCGGCCCTCGCGTGCGCCCTGGTGGCGACGGCGGCGCCGCCCGGCCCCGCATCCCCGCGAGACGCCGCCGCGCGCGACCTCTTCGACAGCGTGCGGCAGCTCATCCGCGAGGGCGACGAGGCGCTGGGGGTGCCCCCGCTCGACCCCTTCCGCCTCGCCTTCGCCAACGGCTCCTTCGCCAGCGACGGCTCCTACGCGGTGCGTACAACAACGCTCCCGGCGGCGCGACGCTCAACCTTTACATTTTACATCCGGGGCGTCATTACACTCTCCTTTCACTGGCTCGCTTTAAAAGAACGGTTTGCGTTATCCAGAAGAGACTAATTATGGTTTTGTTTGGTTGTAATTCTTCATGGAAAATAAAATGAAGTTAAAATATCTTGGAGACGTGCCAAAAATAATTGTATGTATTCGAAACATGCAATAGTGTGCCGTAAAGAATGCCTTTCTTTACGAGAAACTTTCATAAAACCACAACAATGAAAACTGAAAAACAGTTATATTTATGGCAATAATGGCGTTTTAGTAAGAATTGAAAACAAAATATGTGCCCATTGTTGGCAGCGCCCATCGCTGCATACGCGCTTTGTTGGCAGCTCTTATTGACAGATATCTTGCTATAGATATATATGCGATATAATATTACATAACCGTTTCCAAAAGGTGAGAAAGTATGTTGTGTGTTAGCACCACTACTTTTCTATAAAATACAGCGTACGGCATAATCGTAACCAAAATCCATATATAAAGGAAAAGGAATGGGCGTATGTGTGTCGCACGTAAACGCAGGAAATACTCGACCGATTTCGCTGAAATGTTCACACTCTGTTCTTATTAGTAATGGGTGTGTTTAGTAAGTGGTTTGAATTACATCTGTCATTAGGGATCGTTGTTCATTTATTCGTTTTCGACGACTCAAGCGCCCCTGAACTCCACGCACCCCGCCGCACAGTCAAGGATTTAAAGCGTCTTCATCTTCTCTGCATACAAGTATTATGCCCCTGAGATCGTGAAATAGCTACCGGAATCTCGGACAATTAATCAAATTTCTCCAATTTAGTGTCATAGGGACATGCCCAAATTTGAGAGAGAACGTTTAAACAAAAGGATATTTGAAAACCATGTCCAAATCAAACCAGAACATAGGACAAACCCCTTACTATCGTTTACCGATTTTTTTGCACAGGGTGGCGTAAAACGTGATTAACAATCACATAAATAGTAGTGTTTGATGTGTAACGGGCTGCAATAAGGAAGCATTATGGTGTCCACTAGTTATTGCAGAACAATTACTTTAAAATAACAATTACATAAAAATCATGATAGAAAGTATTGAAAAAATGTTTGTTTTTTATTTTTTGCACCTTACTTTTCAGTTTTGACTAATATAAACAATTTTGTTTAAAACAATTCACAGATTCTAACTGAACAAAAGTTACATTTTCATTATTGGAAATTCCGAAAGAAAAGCGAATTAGTAATGTACGTATTATTAGATATTTTGAATCTCCATGTAGAGATCTTCATATGATAGAAAAAATAATATCCAACTTCATTAATATTTGTAATCAGTTTGATCTTGATTGTACCTATCAGTCTTCTATGCGCATTCGAACTATTCCCACTTTAAAAATCTCATCACTCTCTTCATCATTGCCCACTTTAAAAATCTGTCACCACTTAGGTTAGCGCTTTGGGAAAACCATGCTTTAAATAAGCTATTGTTTATCCTTTAAGTGGACATACCTGAAGCGGTTACACGACATACATTCATTACTTTTGGTTTCACTTAACGCGAAACGGATGTAACCATTTCAATTATATCTACATTATTGTTGCTGGTAATTGTTTATTCATTATTCGTATGTCCTCGGCTGTATGTAGCATAGTGAAAAATATTTTTTACCATGATCCATGATCTCATACAAGAATTGTGTCACGTGCAACTCGAACAGATTAGATGCTTTTATCCTAGTGGTACACATGCCATGAAAAAGGTGTTACTGTCATTTCAAAGATCTTTAAGGTTAATAAATGGGATAAAGAGATACTCTAACTTTGTTCCAAAAACAGTTGATAATTTAAAAACAAAATGACCGGTGTAGATTAAATTACGAATGCTGAGAATAAGGGAAATGAAGTACGTCAGCCGCTGTTCTCAGCTCCCCCACACCAATTCTCTGGGCCATAAGCCTTACACGGAACAACTGGAGGGGTAATAAATACTAGTTTCTTCTTGAAAAAGCCCAAAATCGTAAAATCTTCAGTCCTACCTCACCTACAGTTGCGAGGATAGTGTGATTGACTGTCAAGTCGATTCTTACTGCCCTCGCGGTCCACACCATCATTCATCAAGCCAATACGATTTGCATGGGCGAGATAAAGGAGGGAAAATATTTTAAATGAAAGGTACCAACAACCATAAAATTCTTGCAATGTACCTAGGGTTGTATAATTGATGTAATAATGGACAGAAGAATATCATTCTTTTTCGTGGCACTCTTCTTGATTTTTTGCTCTGACAACATAAGTCCCTAAATCCAGTGTTTTTGTTACAAATTGTCTTATTTACTAATCTAAAATTAACTACCCTGATCTAATCGTCTCTAATCCTACCTAATTACTCTTCTCGTCCCTTACAACATGTAGAAAAATGTTTGAATAAACCAAAATCATTCACACAAAAACACCTTCCCGGCCCACCTCGTTCAATTGCACAATGTCGTGGCAAACTGTCTACGGTCTGAGGATACCAATTTAACAAAATTATAGCGTAGGGCCAAATTTAACTGATTTCCCTTTCTTTAAGAATATCCGTGCTCATGCAGCGGCGAATAAATAATGTTTCATATAAACATTGCATTTTAGTTCCCTTATAGATGGGAATTTTGAAATAATAAAATTTGAATTGTTCGAATATATTAAAGCGAGATCACTAATCTCTACATAGACACACAGTTATAGTTGTAGATGATTGATCTGATCGCGTTATCTACACTGTGTCAAAAGCTAGTAAAGTTATGAAAGTTTGACATAAGTACAATATTTCAAATAGAAATGTTCTGGAGTACACTATCGCCTTCACGATATTGTACGTACTGTAGTTCGTAAACACTGCTATAAGTACAAAAATCTGTAATCATTATCACTAGCTAATGTTCAAAATGCACAATTTTAACAAGTCTTAGAACTATTAACGAAGAGTTTTTATTACGGTTATCAGTTGGCTATAGTGAATGAATACACAACAAATCTCAGTAAAGGAAATCTCAGTACAGGATAATTCTCGTATGTATTATATTTTCTCCTGTATAGTTTCCATTAAAATATAAAATCGTCAAGTAAGGTTTAGAGATCTCTGTAAAATTAATGTTATTTTTGTCACTCAATATCTTTGAGATAAAAATACGTATGGCGCCACATTTCATCATGTGCAAACCTATTTACTGACTGATGCGTCTCCAAACTCAAGTGGAAATACATTTTAACTCACAAACTGATCAGATTAGAGGAAGACGACGACGTGTCAGCATTTTTCATATTGATTTTCGAAGTTAGAGACAATCGCTTTCGAGAGCCACGCATCTCATTACCAACATTTTTTAGCATTAAACTCGTTCCGTTATCGCTATCAAACAGTATTTCCGAAGGTCATACTGATAAGATGTCGGGTCCTTCAAGCGATAAGAATAACACAGGAGTCTTTTGTTTAGCGTATCGATCGGTGACCGCGATCATGGCATTGAAAGACTCACATGAGTATTACTGCAATTTATAGGAAATTGTTTTTATTTTCTTGCTACCGTTTGCGTAGTAGAGAGAAAGTTATGTAATGCTGCGCGACAAAACGGTGAATTTTCGGCATGTATGGAACCCCTGCGACATTTTTGAAATTTTCAAAAGAATGACTCCATTATTTCTGATTAAATTTTGTTGTTGGATTGTGTGAAGGACTTTTAAGAGAATAGTGCAGATCTCATGCTCGTTAAAAACTTGATTTTTTTTCGAAAATTGCAAAATCTCAAAATCTTTTGGCGACTTGCTATCTACTTACTATCTACAATTACAATAATGAAGACAGAGATTTTTCTCTTTATGAAACCTATTCCTTAAAGATAAATTTTGACATAGGATCACGTATAATATTTCGAAAATGTGAGTACATTTCGCGTAATTTTACGGGAAAATGCGGGCGAGAAAGTACGTGGTGATTTAGCACCACTTGTTTTCTATAGTAGCGTTTTAAAGACCCATTTTTATGGGCCAAATATTTCTTAACACGAGCTATTATTACACTATAAATTAGTCTTCCCGATTTCTGCACTAAATATGAGCCATCACTGACGTAATATTCCCAGCTCCCTTCACCACTAACATACCTTAGGAGCGTAAAGAAGGCAGTGGGATTTATGTAAATAAACTCCATCCCTCGAGTAAAATCAACAAAACTGTAAATAAAACTTACACTTTTAAAATATAGTTTAATAATTTATGTACTTTTCTGAAAGTATGCATTTTATTTCGGAAAATGTGACGCACAATATTAACAAAGAACACCTAATCTAATTTTTAGCATATGAGTATTAGTATTGCAATTTATAAATTTAGTCGGGGTTACTTTACATGCTATTGGCTTACCATTTTAAGAAGGACCTATTATAAACAGTTGAATGTGGCGTCGCCCACGCCGCACACTATTTTAAAAGTATTTTCATTTGTTGAAAATTTATTTCATAGTTCATTTCTTTAATGACGATTTTTGTTCCAATAAGTTCTTACAATATCTTGCATTGGACTTACCAATGAATTGTAGTTGCTAATAACTTCATAACACCGTTCAAAAATTCAAACACCCAAATGACCTTGTATGTTTCGTTCATACGGACTATGAACTGGTAATAAAGCAATTTCAAACTTGCAATCGCCATAAAAAATATTTACAGGTATGAATGATGCGAATAGTTATAATTTATTACAGTTATATTTCGTACGCTTTTTTGAACATTTGAAAAAAAAACATTTAAACGCACAAAAATGCACATAAAAATTACCTCTAAGCTCATCTCCAGAGTTATTTCTCCAATACGATCATTCTTAATTAGTTCCCAAACATTCTGTCGCACAATCTTCTATAGCTACGTTTGCTTCTTCCCTGTATTTGCTTCCATATTTTTGTCCCCTAATTTTGAAAAGATAACAATTTCACAAACTCAATTTAATTTGTGTTCACTTGTGAGACATTTGTATCAAGTGTAAACAGCAACGAGATAATTTTCCGGAGATACCTCAAGAACCAACTCGCGTTTCGGGAGATATTTCGAACCGTGTAAAGCCGCCAGAGAGAGTTTATCTCCTAACTTCATGAAAGTTTGTCTCTTCGTGTAAACGCACCTTTATTAACATTGCGTATCCTGCCATCTGCCGTAGGTGAACGGCGAAGTGCGAGACCTGGTGGTCACCGGCCTCGCAGACTTCGACGGGACTGTCACCGGGGGTCTGTCGGGGATCACGGGCATCAAGATCAAGGTGGCCGTGGCCGTGCCTGCTCTCCGGCTGACCAGCGGCTACAGCTTCGATGGGGTGGTGAAGGTGCGCGGCCAAGACGTGGAGCTGTACGGAAACGGACCTCTCGAGTAAGCACGCACTTATCACCGATCCACGTGAAATGATTTAGGGGACATCGAACACTCGAAATTGAATTTAAAAAATCATCCTATAAACATAGGTACTTGGCATATTGTAGTCGGATTAATCCGGCTTTTGAAGGCTAGTGGAGGGCACAGGTCTGAGCCCAGTTTTTATCACTCACACTGGGGGTCACTATCATCGTGCCTAGCATTCTCTGCCAGCCTGAGTTTCTTTTTCGATACATTTTAAAGAGTTGAGAGGATTTACATTAGAAAGCTACAGCTTCATTCTTGTCTCGGCCGGGACCACCTCATAGAAAACTAGCATGGGGCACATGCGACATTCTATAACTTAGAGAACATCGACCCGAGGCACATCCTATATATTTTATATTATCTGAAATTTATGAAATAATTTCTAAAGCATTTATATAATTAATAGAGTGCAGAAGATGCTTCGAATTTATTCTTGGACATTATCGTGAAAACCACCCTTGCATTCTATCTTCATGCAATCTTACATTGATTATATCTTCATTCAATCTTGCATTGCATTCGAAACCTCTAGTATCTTGCATTTAACTTTATTTCATATAAATCAATTTTTGGTCGCAATTTCAAATTTAGTTGTCTTTATTTTCAGAATGATTTGATTTCTCTGAACACATATCATCGCTACACAAGGACAGTAACACATCTCAAAAATAATAAATTTCAGTTGAGTAAAGAAATATATTTCAACATAGCTTAAATGGTTCCTCTCAGTATAAAACTTTCTTGCAAAATGATATTTTTTGAGACGTGTTAATTTCATGGATCATCGATGTATTCCAAATGATATATTACAACAGTACATGGTTTCTCATGAGCCTTTTATACTACAGTTTATTCATGTCTATATTGCACATTTTTTTGACAGGGTTGATGTGAAAAACATCGATGTGTCGGTGGAGGCGGTGATAACTATCCTGACACAGAAGATACGTTCGATCACCACGAGCATTGACATAGGAAATATTGAGGTACGTAACTTCATATTCTAATATGACGCGTGACATTTCATTTAAATTTGCTACAATAAGATGTATTTGAATGGGAGTGGACTGTCCGGGTACGCCGCGTCGCAGGCTGAGGGACCGACGTTCCGACTGACATACCGCAGTCTTCTTCAGTCTGTAATGCCAAAGAATACGACGAAGAAAACCACCGATATGTAGGTCGGGCCCTCAGCGTGTGACCTGGTGTCATATCATGTCAATGGGGTTTCTAAATTTCGTAATTTCTCTCAATGAAAACTGAATTTCGCGGATATCGTGGGAATTGAGTATATTCTAGAAAAAAGTTCCTAAAATATTATTTCAAACATTTTCCATTTCATTAAAAATTGGTACGTAATCTCAAATTGTAAATCAAATTACAGAAAGTATGTTATCTTTCAGCATCGTTAGTCCAATGTTCCTAATAGAACTAATAACAAAACTCACGGTATAAAGGTCACGAACAACGAAACAGATCTCAATTTTCTGTCAAAAAGGAACGTTTAAATATATATATATTTTACCTGGATGTAGTGACGTTTTTCAATAATATTTTATATAAAATGTTCAGCTCCTTTAACAGAATAAGGCTGTTTCAAAATATACATGTTCAACCAATACGACTAATGTCAGGTAACTCAATTAATATAATGTTTAAAATGAATTTATTAATTTCAAATAGCACTATTGTATTCCTTTAATGTTTATTTTATATATTGTATATTGTAATATTGTTGTATTTTGGCATATTGTTAATGTCATTCATGTTTATTTTGCATCTAATAAAATTCTCGAAATTCAAATAATTTTGCGCTTATTCATGTTGAAAATTTAGGAACATCGAGAACTCGAGTTTACTTCAAAATTCATTTTAAAGTGCACACTTTCGTGTGCTAACAAGACTAAACAAGATTAAGTTATTGTTTGAACACATCTCCCTTGTTACATGGGTTCGGAAGGCCTTATCGCAGTTTCTTTCTTCAGCCGCTCTCCCAAAACACTCAAGTATACACGCAGCATCAATAATATTTAACTTTTTATATTAATCAGTTTTCTGCAAAATTTAACTATATTGTCAATAATTGCTTACGTATAATCTTTGCGCGCATTTTTTGGCTTCTCAGATGAATCTGGTCGTAGAAAACGCTCAGAGTTTCGTGATCTAGCTTCATACGTCCCGTGCTGTTAGCTGTACGTATGTATATATGTATGTATTAGGCGTAACAGCCCATGGACGTCTCAGGCCTACCGGCGACGTCCCTGCCTCGCTGCCATGGGTGAAGGGGGTACGTTTGGTAAGCACGTAGACATGCCCACGCGGTATTCCGAATTCTGAACCTGAGAAGTGAATTTTCTCATCGTCACACAGCAACATATACTGGGAGATTGCAAGGAAAACGCACACTATAGTCTTGACTCGCCCGGGAATCGAACCCGGGGCCACCTACCGAGCGCGCTGACCACGAGCCCCAAGTGCCGTTAGCTATTCCCTCGGCTTGTCTCTCACCAATTGTGCCGCGCTCCGCAGGTGGCCGTGGACGGGCTGCTGGAGGGAGGGCTGGTGAACCCGTTCATCAGCGCAGTGGTGAGCGAGCTGGCCAACGAGCTGTTCGCCGAGCAGCGGGCGGCGCTGGAGCAGGCGGCGAGCGACGCACTCAAGGAGCCCCTGCAGGCCGCGCTCGACAGCTTCTCCCTGGACGTAAGCTCACCGCCTTCGCGCTTCTCGCGTTCCGGTCCATTTAGTAGTTAGAAATAGAAGTAACATCGGCTCACATCCCTCAGCTCCAGAATCTCTTCCCAATATTTTAACTATATATGTGTGTGTGTGTGTATACACACACACACACATATTATATACAAATACATATACATACATATACACATATATACATATATACATACACATACATACATACATATATACATATGTTGAATAATGAATAAAAGTTTCAAAGAAAAGCGACATTTCCAACGTTTCAAATCTATACATATTCCCTTACGAGTTATAGAAATGTTTTTTACATTGGTAAAAAGAAATGCAGATCTTTTTTTGTTTCACTAACAAAGTACTTTATCTCCTCCCATCACTACTAGCAAATATTGAACTCAACAAATCGTGCGCATAGTGAAGCTACATTTACGCCCAGAAGTAATGTTCACGAAGCGAGGATAGCGGCAGTAGCGGCGACCCGCTATGCTAGTGTTAACAAGTCGAGTCCAGCGTCGGACGTGGTAGCTATTGATCTTGACATTGCGTTGAGGCGTCTCCACACATTCGGCATTCGCCGAGGAGCGAGCTACTGTTCGCCCAATCCCGAACAGTTGATGAGTTCGGCGAATGTTCGCTCCCTTTGATGAGTAAAAAGAGCGAGACGCGGTGGGTAAGGCGAGCACCGAATGTTCGTCGCTCGAGCAAGCAACTCGTCCACAATACTTGGCATTCGGCAAGCGGTCGTTCGCTACTCGCCGAAAATCCAATGTGTCCACCGTTAGTTAGAAATCTTTTAAACATTCCTATGTCAAGCCGCCTTTACGCAAAAGCAAATCACTATAGAACATTTCGCCGATAGCTTAAAATTCATTGTCTTGATCTTGCGTTAGTGATGAAGGTAGACGTAAAAGATTGTACCAAAACACACTCGTCGGAAAAGAAATTACACAAAAAAATAACAAAAATTGATGACCATAATGACATGTTAATCATTTTATTGACATGTGAAATACCAAGAGAATATTACGTGAAATGAAATATTACGATAAATAAAACTCAATTGGTGCATGGAACACAACCTTTAATAATTGAATATTGAACGTCAACTCTGTTAATTGAAAGTTTCTAGCGATATTTCCCCTTCGCTCAAATATTAGAAATACGAAACAAACAAATGTAAAAGAAGAAAATGTAATATTAACCTCCTAATAAAAACTTCGAGAAATAGAAATACAACATTTGAAAAATTAATCATAATTTATTATCTAAAATCTTTTTAATCCGAATGTATTTACTACTTTTATATCCGATAAATACAGTTAAATCAAATATATTTCAAACTCACCTCAAATATTGGCATCTATCGCCTAGTCAACATTGCAGCCAATAGAAATTGAACATTATTTGACTTTCTTCCCTTTGTGACCAATTTTCTATGGAAACATGCGTTTATGCTTGTAGGCATTGTTTTTCCACACACACACACACACACACACACTATTCATCGACCTTTTTGATGAATTCCCACGCTCGACTTATCTCTTGATTGTAGGTTATTTCGCAAAATACAGGTATTGAACCTGTCAAAAACTGGACACTCTTTGTGTTTCTGTACTTTCTAATAGCATTTTGTGACCAGAAACATTGAATATTTGATTTTCTTATTTGTGAAGTGTAGCATTATTATTGCAACTTCACAGCTACTACAAAAGCATGTAGTTATATCTAGTACGACAAGGTAGAATTCAGTCACTGGTTGCCGGAAGAACAAAGAGCGAAAAATGATACTTTTATTTAAAGGATACTGCAGCGAATCCAACACATCTCAGATCAGAAGACATCGGAAAATATTGGAAATGTTAAGCACCCCAAAAAATCAAAATGTCCGTTTCAAACTGGCAGGGGCTCATGTTCGTTTAGATGAATCGAGAAACGCCTATCTTGGAGAAAATCGTCCAAATTTTTTAGGCTCTAGCGTTGACCACAAGCGGAGAAGCAGATGAACGGACACACATTTTGCCTTCAATCGATTTTTTCTAATCAAAGAGGCACAAAGCATGAGTTGTAACTAACAACGTGTTACAAGAAGTAATTTGCAACATATGGAAACACGATCTATTCACTTTCTCGTAGTCGCATATTTCCGACTTCCGGAATTTCTTGTGTTTTAGTAATATAACGATCAGATTAGAGGTAAAAGCAAGAGAAAATCACTATTGTTAAAGTTTCAAATATCGAAATAAAACAATTAAGGCATTAAAAAGATGAAAAAAGAATGTTTTGAGTTACTTAACCCCGCTGTGAGCGTGGGTCGAAGTAGCCAGGGTTTTGAGATTATGTGCTCACAATTAGGAAATCTGAGAAAAGATAGAGAAGGCATTCTACTAATGACAAAGTTATCATAGACGTTCTATTAAAAGATATATAATTACCAAAATATAAACTGATCCCCTCATCAACTATCTTGAAATCCAATGTAGAGATAAAAGTTTGCAGGGCTCAAATCCGGCCAATTTCGACCTCAGACAATTAATAGAGAGCTGTAACGTACAGGTGTACCACCAAATTATGCTAAACACATTCAATGCTTCACTATGTGGACATCGCACGGAAGAAATTGCAAACTAACAGGTCAATTCAATGTATAAGCAACTACAAGCGCTGACAACACTTTTGTCGCGTGGATCCAAGTAGTACCCTAAGGACCCAAGAAGCCCGTGATGTCGATGCCTGACGAAAACTTTAGCTTTTCACCTGACTCTTAAAAATTACTGAATGTAGGAGCGTCAGTGTTTTACCAACCCCATTGATTTTTTACAAAACAAATTGAATTCATGTTAAATGAATACATCTAGTTTCATAATTATTTAATGCTGTTCAAATGCCTAGCTTATCTTGTAACTTCTGACCTCTGTGCCCACAGGATCTTCTATGTTTGTTGGGGCTTTGCTCTGAATCTGCTGTGATGGAGGCCATGAAGGAAGCTGCAACTCAAGTTGTAGATGGCGAGGCGTATTCAATATGATAATCTGGACGTGCATAAAACTATCTCCCGAAACGCTGCCTTTACCAGAATTCCAACGTTTAAATACTTGCGTGTAATGAAATTTTGTAAAAACAGTCACAATGTGATCTTTCAACAACCCATTTAGATTCTTCTGCAAATAAATAACATTTATTTCGCCTTTCATGCTAATATTTTTACTGGTGAGCAACAAAATAATTCTTAAATATATTCCATAATTATCTTAATTGCTGTGCTTTAAAGTTTTGATCATTGTGAAATTTCAAAATATATTTTACTCACAAAATATATTTTGAAATAACTACGACCATCATTGAAATTAGTATTAATGTAAATATTGTACATTTATCATTTTATTTTTAATTAATTAACTTTTTGTATAAAATAAACTCTCATGTTTTCCACTTCCTACATGTTTGGTGTTACCCATAAATATAGTTCTCTCTCATCACTATTCGAATTTAAAAGATCGAACGACTAAAAACAAAAAACGTAGCTGAAACTTTACATGTGCATTTTTCCTATTCTATGGGAAGGCAAGAACAATCCACAGCCACACGACACATGTTAGCTGACAGTCAGGTGTGCTAAAGGAGCTGTCTTTTCTTCCTGCTCATTTCTCAACAATGACATCCATTCTTTAGTCGATAATTTCTTTTAAATAATTTGCTGCGTCTATACACATAACGCGCCTCCTAGCTCTTAGGAGGGTTGAGCGCACCGTGAAGTAATACTTTATTATGCACCCAGCACCATCTAGGGGCCACTTGGTCAAGCCACGTCACGTCAGTCGCAGGTAAGTTCGGGAATCGACGATAGGTAGCGTCTTCGCGCTCGCGTCATCTACCTATCGGCCAGAATTGGGAAGCAATAAGGATAGGGGTAAGGTTTGGCTGGGTTGGACCCTGTGAAGCATACTAACTAGTTTTGTCGTAACAAATATCACATGAGGTTCTACGGGAATCGAACTCGAAACTTCATTTTATAGGCGAGCGCGTCTACTGTTTTGGTCATCAGCACCGTAGGCCCCAGGTTCGAGTCCTGACGGTGGAAGAATTTTCGACACCAGCCAGACAACTAGATCGAGTTCTGTCGCTGTCTGGACGAATGTTCTAGCTGCCAGCTGGTCTGATGAGTAGGATCCGTGGTTTCACTGACCAACACCAGGCGAATGCTGGAGCAGTACTCTAATAAACGGGCTCGATTTATACCGGGAGACCGGTGGGAAGTTTAGAGCTAATAACCGACCCTCGTTTTCAAGCGCTTGAATTAAGAACACTCCTCGTTCTAAGATAACGAAATGTTCATTTAATGTTTCAAGATGCAAAATATTCTTACAATATTGAAATTGTAGGAGTAAATTAAAATGTATTGTTTTACTGAAATGCAAGGGAATCACTGCTTTCACTATCAATTCTAGTGATATATTCATTACTTTATTAAGCATACATAGCCACTTTATTAATGATTTAGTCATTTAGTTCTATTTCGCAACACAGTTTCATTCGGCGCGTTCAACCTTATCTGTCATTATTTAGCACATAGTTTCAATAACCACCAGTAGATAGAGTAGGGTTCGCCTGGAAAGAAGAGTAAAAGCAATGGGCCTATTACCTTACAGTTTTCAATAACACGACAAAATATGGGATGTCGTAGCATGACTAGTTTACAATTGCTAAATTAATATATTACTGAAAAAGAAGCCTGCAGTGAATGTCCGTAAAAGTTTGGCTGTCAGGAACAATTATAATAATTACGCATCGTTATTCTGTCCTCCAATTTTCACCTTCAATAGCAAGTTTATGTATTGCCTGGGTGTTTTGAAATAAATGTTTATTAATTGGGATGACCCGAAAAACACATACTTTCTTGTATTATTTTTAACGGTTACATAATATTACAATACCAGGGATAGCCCTGAAAAAAATGACGGGATCTCGCTTTAATAATGAATAAGAAGCGAAAGATTTACGTTTCATAAAAACGTAAATCGTAACACGTAAAAATGTAATAAGTTGTTTCCTTTGCAACTGCATATTTTTATTTTATCACAAATTTTTCTCTTCAAATTGTTCTGAGAAGCTCTCCCAACATTTCCTAGGAACATGAAATGAATAAATATAAAAAGGAATCGATTTTTTGTCACGAGCTGCCACTCAATATCCATTTCCCATATCAATATCCATATCCATATCCATATCCATATCCAAAATCCATTTAGGGACGTCTACCAAATACCACCTCCTCCAACACCCGCTCTCGTTATCCCAGTCACGATCCAACTACAAAACTGCGCGCCGCGACCACTTCCAATTAGTACCGCCATAGTTTTTCCACTAGTAGCTAGGGTGGCCAACCGTCCTCCATTTGGAAGGACAATCCCAAATACTACAAAGATACTTGAAGCCCAACCAAATACTTAAAATCTTACCAATATTGAAGGTAGAGATGAACCCTCAGACAAATTTCGTTGTACAAAATCGGCTCTTCAGAAAGATAATATGCAATTTTTTCAAAAACGAAACGACATAGTTTTCCCGTAATTTATTGCATCAATGTTTTGCCCTCTTTCGGAAACTCAGAGATCACACATTTTAGCGATCACATGTGCTCGCCGTTGCAGACAAAAGCGTATAATTCACTACAATACAACCTTTAGAACCTAACACGAAAACTGTGGAAAGCAGCTGCGTCACAGGATTTACACGCTCACAAAGGAGCCAGTACGCGAAAGCCTGTTCTATTTTGCAAGATGATCATGTTAATTTGTCCAGCCCCTTTAGCTATCTAGCTCGAAAACCCTGCAACCGCCGGCACTCGAACCCTATCACCTCTCTCTCAGAGACATCGCAGTGACAGCAACTGATGCCCTCAGCTGGGGTATGCCACCTAAGCCAGTTTAAAGTCAGTGAAAATCATAATTTCAATTTTTTTTTCCACAAATTGTTTCAAAATAATGTGTTGCATCCGCTACTCTGCGGTCTCACAGTACACACCAGGACAGAATAATCAACACTTCCAGATCCACCCGATTCTTTCAGACCTTCCAGATTCTAGAACACTTCCAGATTGGACGCGAGTGGAACGCGCCACAATGTGGAAGAAAGGAGAGCCTAGCCCAAGGGTGAAGCTCTGATGGTAAGTGCTCTGCTGACGCCAAACGCAGACCGTAGGATTGCGTCGTGGTCACAGCGAGTCCGCAGCTGAGTGACTCTCGCAAAAGGGGACCATTGTTCCAAAAACCTGTCTCGAGGACGCTTGTGTGCGTGCAGTCCAATTTTTTTATTGATAGCGTATTGTGTTACCAATTGCATCCCACTGGGAGTGATGTCTCAGGGCGACACCAGATGTCACTGCAGTGCCTGTGACCCGGAGGTCCTAGGATCGACACCCGACTGTGGCACTAGCTTGTTAGCTAGATCGAATTCAGTCGTTGCCCTGATCCGTACTCTGCCGGCTGCTCTGATCAGTAGTTTTCCGAGGTTTCTCCAATTAATACCCGGCGAATGCCGGAGTTGTACCCTGGAAAAGGGCCACGGACTGCGCCCGATCTTTCCTTTCGCTTCCGTCTGCTATTCTCACCATTTACTTATGCGCTTAGGTCACACGATTGGTAGACATTGCCTTCACACACACTCAGAATTTTGTATTTAAAAACGTACAATGAACAAACTAAAAACCGCCGCTCTTTACCTTTTCTAACAATAATCTTACTCTCATATATTTTCTCGAAGAGTAAATTTCGAATGCGTTCAATTTATCAATTAGAACTCCAACAAAAAAATGTACAAATGTAAGTATCCATTCGACTAATTTTGTGAATTTATTAAACTTCAGTGTTTATACTTGAAAATTGGATGATAATAATAGCAAACGATAAAACATTTGCAATCCAATACCTTACATTTGAAGCAAAATTGACTAAATTTGGTTGATTGGAATGCTCAAACTTCATTTTAAACAAAACCCTTAGTGTTTTAAAACTACAGATTTTTTCAATTTTCTAAATGTTAAAGGTTTTAATGAAAATTGGAACTATACCATATTTATATATGCAATTTCTTGTATATTACAAAATCATTTTAAAGAAAGTTCTCAGACATTTTACAGAAAAGTTTGAGAAAGTCATAGGGACTCAATGTAATGTACCACAACATTTAAAATATCTTAATAATTTCCGTAACCGCACAATTAGATTATTCGCTTATTTAGCAAGCTTCATCTCAAACGCTTATAATATAATGGAGTTACGCACGACACCGTGATCTATCCATCCATCCATGAACACAAATCGATTTTTTGTGTACAAAATCTCCACTCTACTTGCAACAATCTAAGCAGTCTTTGAAACAATATTTATAGTTCTTAACCCTGACGTGTGCGCGAAAAGAATTTTAAACACGGATTTAATACCGAACGGACGATACGTCCATATTTTACAATTTATATTAACTGAATAAATGAACTGAATAATTTGAACTGAATACTTATATGAACTGAATAATTTTCTCTTACTGATTTACTTCTCTTTTCTCTTTTAACTTTGTTAAGTGACCGAATCAATCAATGATAGCACAGGGTACTATACTGCCTGAAAGTTTAAGGATTGTTTTTTATTATTAATTTTAATGTTATTTTCTTGATTTTTTTGTGATAATTCATGGCTAGATCAACTGATTCATGTTCTCCTGCAACAAAAAATCCCATTTTGGAATTTTTTTGTTTCAATCTTTCACAGTCAAAAGTTTGATCACACCACTGAAGTACTGGTAGTAATTCTGATCTACTTCAAATTTCGTGTCAATGATAATTGAATGAATTCGTTCGTATGCATTCATTCCGTTACGTAAAGTATCAATTGCAAACATCTAGTTCCAATTCAATGCATACATTAATTTTTCAAATCGGAGGGATCGCATCGTACTAAATTAGCTATTGTAAACCAAGTAAACGTACTTAGCCTTCGCAATCAGAAGAAACAACCCCCATGCAACTTTTCTATATTTAGAAACCTATTGTGTAAACCTCAATAACGATTCCGTGTCAAATATCTATTCAAAATACCCGCCTTTTCAAGAATGTAATGCGTCACTGTCAGTTGCCATAGTTGCCAC